TAGATGGATAATATCAAAGTCATAGATAATGATAACTTAGAGACTTAATTATTAGTGATTAAATATTAGATTAGAACACAAAAGTATCTAAGTAAGTTATCAACCGATAAACCAGTATGATAGTATAGGAACCACCAAGATCATCATTTTTGGAAACATAAGATTGACAATCCAACAAAATTCAATAGCAAGTATACCATCAATAACACTTGATGATAAAACTTAATTATCAAAGGTTTCAGATAGCATGCTAAACAACTTACGTAGGATAACTCAAAGAACACAAAGTATCATCGACTAGCAAGAAAATGCTTGCGAATATATCACTCAAAGGAAATAACATTGAAATCTATCAGAACTAACTTGAGCAACAATCAACAGAACAAAATGAGTGCGGTAAAACCAACAAACACCCATTCATATCAACTATCACAGAAGTCAATCTGAATAGATCACAGTCAACAATATGAATGAACTAGAGTTGCTTAAGCAAGCATCAGCAATATTTTACCGATATCTCAAACCCAAGAGACCAATCCATATATTTGGGCGCAAATGCTTTACAATCATTTCTTGGGTATGGATTTTAGTTACTTTTTCGTACTAGAGTAATGAGCTTTCGCTTCTTTTTTGGAGAGATGATTTGCAACAAGATCTTAACTCATTGTTCATGTTTACATTATGCAATCAAGAGTCCCTATCTTGATGCATGTTGGAAATAATGGTCTTGCAAGTGGTGAGTCATGGGATGAATAGTAGTGAAGCATTATACCATTTTGTCTAGGCTTGCTATTAAAGATTGGGGTTGCAATGCTCAATTCTTTTTTGGGGAACCTTGCTATTGCTCCTTGAGTAGCTTGGTGTTGGATTAGTTTTGAGTTTGGTCAGAAAGAGAATGGCATGAGCTTGTTCATGTTGTGAACAAAAGTTAGTGATGTTAGATGTTGTAAATCTCTATTGGTGGAGTGTGGTAGTTATGTTGCATTTTATCAAATAGAGTTGGCATTTGATATTCACATAAATTTTTGTAGTAATGACATAGGCACTGCTTGTAGTGTTGCTCAATTGATGACCAAGTCATTGTGATACTTATATCATATCCATGTGATAATGAGCAATGTGTTTACAAAGTTACTTGGGTAAGCGATGATCAACCCCAAAGTGGTTGATGGAGAAGCTAGTCTACTTGCATATAGTAGCATTATAGTAGCTTTGACTGGATTCTCAATAATGATCCATTATACTAAGCATAAGTTGATACCTTGGATCTTGAAGGTGGTTGAAGAAAAGTGTTGGTGCAATATGGATATCCGAAGATATAGTGTTCGTGATCAAGCCTTGGATGTTCATTTTTGCATCTTGCGGATATCGAGTTGGAAGTCAGAAATATGGGCAAAGATGTTCAATGCTTAAACATATTATGGGTCTTGAGAATTTGTGTTAAGGTGAACTTATGTGAAGTTGTAGGTAGGAGGAAGTTGGATGAGTTTTGAAAGTCTGCATTTCTGGACTAAGAGTCATTTTTTCTCTAGAATGGAAAATTTTCCATAAATTTTCTTAGACTTATCCAATGGCTGATTTGTTAATCACTTTTCTCAAAAACCATTCTATTTTCGTAAGCCAATACAAACTAATGAAGGGGTTGGAATTGACCTTGGTTAACTTAGACCTTAGTAGGTGGTTTGTATGATGCGACCCGAAAGGGATGTTGACTTTTGGGGCTAACACAATTGAGTTGGATAGAGTCTAGAGTTGATGTAAAAAAGTGGCCATTGTGCTTTTCTAAGAAAGGTGACCTTTGTACCTTTCTTCTATAGTGTTGTGCTTGGTGGTAGGTTGCACCTTGCATTTTATTAGACTCTATGAGAGCAATGAGCTCTTATTGATCTTGACTTGGTCTTGGTGGCCCTACACCTTGGTTGAGGATAGTAATGTCCAACTTAGTTGTTGTGGTTGAGATGTTAGTATGCATACTATAGCTTTGTATATGAGGAGGTTGTGTACAATTATGAGTCCATGTCATGGTCTTCACTTTAATTTTGAATAAGTGTTAATCATGCATAACTAGCCTCTTTAAGGCATGCT